CTGCTAAGCAAAACAATTGTGATTATTTCTGAGAACAGAACGCTGTCCCTTATTTTCTTAAAGAATAAACACTTCTACAAGAATAAACACTATTTTCTTAAAGAATAAGATAAAGAATCACAATTATTAAAAGTTAATTGGCAAACCCTAATGATGACATAATTATCTTTCGACTCCCCTGACAGTTTATTTTTTGATCTTATTAAAAAAAAAAGTAATTGTTGGAGATATGCGAGCAAAAAAAAAAAAAGGATAAAAAATGGATAATAGAGAGCGCAAAGGCCAGTGAAAAGGCCAGTACAAAAAAATATATAAAAAGTGGGCAGGTCTAAGGCATAAAACTCCAGCCCTGCTGTAAAATGTAATTTATTCCTGTGATGCCATGCAGAATTTTCAGCATCATTACTCCAGTCTTGTCACATGATCCTTCAGAAATCATATATAATATGCTGATTTGCTGCTCAAGAAACATTTCTGATTATTATCAATGTTGAAAATGTTTGTGCTGCTGAATATTTTTGTGGAAACCCTGATATACGTTTTTTTTTTCCAGGATACTTTATAAATGTAAAGTAAAAAAACCCAGCATTTATTTGGAATAGAAATATTTTGTAACATTATAAATATCTTTACGGTCACTTTTGATCAATTTCATGCATCCTTGCAGAAGAAAAGTTTTAACTTCTTTCAAAAACAAAATCATCTTACTGCCCCCAAACTTTTGAGTGGTAGTGTAAATGTTGACGTAAATATATTACTGTTCTAGCATAGTTTGCGTGTATGTGTGCAACAGTATTGCATGTTGTTGTTGTTGTTTTTTTTGGTAAGACTGTATTTCTGCTCTTATGTAATTGCTCTGAGGGTTGATCTTGGCTCGGCACCATCTGTTTTAATGCTGCGTGTTTCTCAGTAATGAGGCGCTAAAACACCAGCTTGTTGCGATTAACAGCTGGTCAGTAATGCTGTCTGTTGAGGACAAATGCACAAATCCAGCCTGCTTTCATTATGCACTGACATGAAGGGAATCTCGACTAGAAACTGCTTTAACCCTGTTTATTAGACTAGCAGCTATTCTTTTGCACTAATTAAAGATTCCCTCAAGAGCTCACTATGACACTAATTTGTTTTGTGCTGAAGCTGAGCGATGAGTAATTGTATTCTAGTTGTATTTCTGCATGAAATATATGAGACCAGTGAATGATTTGAAGTTTGCTATATTTAAAACCTGCATTAAATAATCACATTGAAACTCTTATACTGTACATAGACGTCTTCTATGATATTACAGCCAACATTGATTGATTAACTTGAGGAACAGCCGTTTGATCTTAATGCAATTGGCAGATGTTTTTATCCAAAGCAACTCGCATATTGTCATTTCAAAATTTTGGGGTTAGTTTAAATTTTTTTTTAAAGAAATTAGTATTTTTATTCAGCAAAATTCTTTGCATCATTGAAATAAATGATATTTTACAATATATTCAAATAGAAAACAGATATTTCAAATGGTAATAATATTTCACATTTTTACTGTTTTTACAATATTAAAAGTGTGCATTTGTGTGCATTTGATAGTGTGCATTTGATCAGTTCCCGCATTTTGTGGTATTTAATATGACTTTATAAACAGTGGAAAATTAATTATTGATCATATTCAGTTGTCATAAAACGATGGACAAAAACAATAATGTGCAGTTTTGGCCTGTTTGATATTAATAATATCCTTTAAATATTAAATCACTAAAATTTCCCATTAATTTGATTATTTTATGGGGTTTTTTATTAGAAAAGATATACATATTAATATGCATTTTTATTGTGTATATTCTACATACTAATGTTTATGCATATTAATGACTTCAAAACTGCCATTTGTCCAGTTGTAAGGTGCTCATATTGTCACCGATACCTGTCTAGCACTGTCTTTGTTGTTTGTTTGTTTGTTTCGCCCGTCATGTTTGGTGAAGCTTTCAATATGAAACTCACAAAAAAAAGTCTTTGTTGAAGAACACGAGTCGGTTTGATTTCATGGAGAGGCTGCTGCTGTTGGCTACATTAGTAACCATGGTAACTGGATTGTAATTGGATTGCACTTTCATTCCCATAGAAAACAGAGCGAAACATTGAGGGACTGGATGAAAATGCAGCAGTGTCCTCAAGCAATGCGTATGCATGGGAATCATATTTCTTTGTTTACAGCAATACATTTGTTTATCATTAGGTACTCACTTTCATTTCAAACTTGTATGGAGCTCAGCAGCTGTGCTAGCAACCACCCATAATCACCCGTAAATTATTAGATTGTCTCATCACATTTTTTCAAAATAATATAAAAACAATAATTGAAATATTTTTAGTATTAAATAGAATGTACATTTTAAATGTGATTTTTGTCTCTTTATTAATATTAATATTAATAATGTAGTATTAATAATAATGACATACTGTTAGTGTTATTTTAAAGGGGTCCTATTATGCTCTTTTACAAAGTCTAGATTTTGTTTTGGGGGTGTACTAGAGCAGGTTCTCATACTAGGTTGTTCTAAAAACACATTTTCCAAATATTTTACATTATTACAACACCTCTCTCCCCAGTCTG